TAGTCTAACCTATACAGCGCGAGCGCTAGAAGCTATTAATAAAGGATAATAACTATTTTAAGAATTATAAAATGCGATTAGGGCGGTATATAAACGCGGCAGATAATAAGAGAACCTTCTATTTCTCTAGTTGCGAGGAGATTGCTTTTAAAAACTGGAAAGGCGAAGAGATTTAGGTTATAAACGGGAATAGATAAATAGACCTTCCGGTAAATATAGGCATATTTATTGTAAAAGGGAAATTAATACCAGAATAATATAATTAGAGGGTGCTGGTATATAAGCCTTAAATTATAATAAGGCCTATCTAAAATCTAACACGTAAATATATAGTACTATTATAAGGTTCCTTGCAATATAGCTTTATTAAAACACAGTATATTCTATTATTATGCAAATTTGCTTTCTCCTATACCTGTAGCTCGCTTTTCTTAATACTATTAAAAGCGCGTGCAGTTAAAAGTAGTCTAATAACTAAAATAGGTACTTTTTCTTTTAGGGTAAAGTATACTTTATTTTATACTTTAGTAAGTGCTAGTTCTAGGTCCTATTTAAGAGTTTTTAATATACTAGTATTAACTCCGGAGACTAGTGCCCCTTACTACTCTAATATTGCTAGAATCTATATAGAATCTTCTATATAGGTATCCTTAGCTTTGTTTAAAAAAGGTGTAATCACGCGGCTTAATTATAGAAATAATAGACTGGCGATCTCCTAACTAGGTCTAATATCTATATTAATAATAGCATCCTAGAAGCTATTTTAAGGGAATCTTATCCTTACCTATACTATTATTTAGAGCGTTTAATTAATTCCGTCCTTGTAAATTCGTCTGGTATACTTAATATTGTTATAAAGAAGATTATATAAAATAGTCTATAATCCCTTTATATCTACTCCGTAGTATTTATAATAATTCCGAGGTTTATTGCTTTCTAATATAGTAATCGGCTATAGAAACGGAAGAGCACCTTATTTACTATTAGCACTATTTAGGTATATATAATTAGTATATACACTTTCTAGGAATAGCAGTCCTATTAATATAGTAAAAAGAATGCTTTTATAGAAGTTGCGGTTACGGGCTATTTTTAGAAAATCTAACCTAATATTACTGCTAAGTTAAATGCGCTTTAGATCCTTATTTTCCTAATAAAATTTAGTTAAATTAATTCTTTCGCACGCCCTAGGGGAGATAGTAATAACGAAAGGAAGAAATATATAAGGCATATTATTAAGAATATCCTAATAAACTCTATAGGCTACTTTACATAAGTAATACCGCTGTTTATTCTAGGGACTATAATAGGTTAAGGTTATTATGCAAGCTATTTTAAGCCGTTCTGCTAGAATCTTTTAGTACTCTATAGGGATAATCTGGTCCTTATTTAGGCGATCCGAAATTTTATATATTCGGGACTTAATATATAACCGCCGCGGCATAATTAATAAATAGGACGATAGGAAAATAGGAAGGCTAAAGATGGGAAGGCTAAAGGCTAAAGGTGGGAAAGTAGGAAAGTAGGAATTTAGGAATTTGGGAAAGTAGGAATTTAGGAAAGTAGGAAAGTGGGAAAATAGGAAGATCGGAGGGACGCCCGCGCGTTCGGTTACTAGTACACAAAAATAAGCCATAAATTAGCTATATAGTAGGCGGAGGAATTGTAAACGTAATATATTAAAGAACCTTAGTAATACTTAGTCTAGAAACAGGCTACTAATAGCGCCTATAGCTTTTTATCCCGGGCTTACCTATTTACTATAATTTTACCCGATCGAGCTTTATAGCGTATTAGAGACATTAGTTTGCAAAGATTTAAAATAAATATAGCGTCCGTGTTTATAGGGAGAATAGATCTAGGGCTAAAACTAACTTAGCCTTTAATAGACTACAGAACAGTACCTATTAAAACTATAAAGCCTAGCGAAGCGTTTAATTAATCTATTGGCGACAGGATATATATAACATAGCCTTAGCGTGGCACGTGTATAATAGGCGAGGTTCCCGCGATCTCTAATCCACTATTTAACCTTGTTATCTTAGCACTCTAAGACCTATATACTACTTTTAAAGGCGAATTAGTATATACCCTATAATTTAGCTTAATTAAGCTTTAAAATGCGCTTAAACAATCTTAATATAGTAGGCGAGCTATAGTATATAATTACCTAAAATAAATAAAGTCCTCTATATCTTAAAGAGTAATATATTAAAGAGAGACCGATATTTAGGCCTATTTATTATTACAGTTCCTTTCCTCGCTTCTAGCTTTATCTAACTGGTTCCGATATTGCTTTAGGAGCTGCTCCTACTACAGCATATTCTAGCGCGGGCTATAATTAGGTACTTAGCAATAACAGAAACTACTAAGAGCGGAATTAGAATTAGCAATTATAAGCCAGGTTATCGAAACAGATCCGAAGCTATAGACGCTATATCGACCGGTATAGATGCCTTTAATTTGCCAGCACGATTTGCTTTATGCTGGCGCAGAAGCTTTTATAGCATATTAAAGCACGGACAGCCACTACCCTATACTACCTTTCTGCCTATAACTTCTTCCGCCTTCCCTAACTAACTATCTATAGTTATAGTTTTATAGATCTTAGCCTTAGCTAATATCCTAGAATAAGAATAGCCTTAAACGCCTTAAGGAAGAGATTAGTAAAATAGTTATTTTTAACCGAGACGTTCTATATATAAGGCTTCTACGCCCTATTTTAGTAAGTATATATATTTGCCTTAGTTTAATACTTATCCACTATTTAACTCTATAGAATATATTTACTCCCCTCTACTTCTACAATTACTATTAGCACTATTTTCTTCGGTCTTAGTTTTATATTAGCTGGCTTCCTGCTTTAGACTATATACTAGACTAAGCTGCCTCTATTCTAGCGCAATGCGGCCTATATTAGCCTTGTGTGCTTTTTTACGCCTCTACTTTTTTATTTAATCTTTACTTTTGTCTGCAGCGCCTACCCTAGTTAGTTCTTATAAAACGCCTTTAGAGCTGCTATTTAGAGCTCGTATTAAGCCCTATTTTTATTTAATATAAGTTCCCTATTAGTCCTGCCTTTATCTTTATTACTAAATTATCTGCAGCTGCTTAGGTAGATAGCTTTCTCTAAACTCGCTATTTATTCTTCTAAAGTTGTGCGCTATTTAAAGTACTTAGTTGCGGTAGCTATAGTAGAATATGCGATAACTTTAATACTCTAAGCGTATATATGCGAAAGAACTTTATTTAAGTAATTTAATAACCTTTTACAGCCCTAAAGCAAGAAATAGGTTCCGAATTATAATAACCGCTACGTGGATTGCTTTCGATGTTATATTATTTCGCAATTCGCACTAAATATCCGAAAATATATCTATAGCAAGAGTGTATAGTACTTACGCATTATATATACAGCTTAATACTCTAGCCTTATTACTTTTTTCTATCTTATAACTCCCCCCTTTTATTAGTGCTGTGCTTTTTTTATTTAAAATTGTATCGCGTAATAAAGGGGGTTATATAGAAGATATAAGTATCTAACTATTTTTACCTATTTTTTTATTAGCTAATATCTAGAGGGGTTGCTGCTGCTACTAGATATAGTATTATACCGATTTATCCCTGTAATTATAATATCTCTGTTAGACTTATAGCTAAAGTTTATAAGAAAACCTTCTACCTTTTAATCGGACTTAGAAGCTAAATTAGCACGTGCTAATTCTATATTAACTTTTAAATAAGCTGTTATAGGCAATTAAACTATAAATATATTAGTATAGCATATCTAAAATATTTACGTTGTTGCTAACCACGCGGCTTCTATCTAGCCAGCTATTCCACCCCCTTTGCACTTATCCTAGTAAAAACAGTCTTTAGTTCTAGCACTTTATAAATAAGCTAGAAGTAGTACTATAATATAGTGCAGATAATTAAAAACAGCGTAATAGATAAGGAAACGGGCTTCTATATATATATATTATTACTTCGATTACGGTTTTATAGACAGAGCCTATTATTACTAATATTAAATCTCCGGCTCTATATAACTCTGCTGGACGCTCTTAAATAATAGCGGATCTTGCAACCTAATAGATTGTGCGAGCAGGCGGATTGTGTAAGTAGGCGGATTATGCAAGGGATTATGCAAGCTAGTGTAATTAAACTCCTTATAACTAACGCATGGCGCATATAACTTTGCTATTTGCGAACACCTGCCGCATGTAATCCTGCTATCTTATTCCGGGCAAGCAGATTAATTATATAAGTAATTAAACTGTGTAAGTAGTTTAACTATATAACCGGTATAATCGCGAGATTAGTAATTATATAACTAGTATCTAATATAAATATTCTCTGCTTTAGTAGAATAATATGCTTGAAATTACTATAAAACTACTTAAGTAAGTTACTAGCGGTTTCTATAACACCTATAAATACTTTAAGTACCTATAAAACTTAGGGTACTAAAACTTTAGATACCTATAAAACCTTAGGTACCTATACCTTAGAGTAACTATAAAATATTAGGTATATATAAAACCTTATATACCTACGCCTTAGGTACCTATAAAACCTTAGGCACCCACCGCTTAAGTAATATAGTAGCTTATAAAAACTTTAAGTATAGAAACTATTGCGCTTTATTTCTATTTACACTATAAATATACAGTACTAACTTATACTATAACTAGAGCTAGGTTTTCCCTTACCTTCTTAAGTATTAACTTTATTTAAATATATAGCTCCCTATTCTTTCTTTCCTAACTTTTACCGCTCGGAAATATAACCTTGCGCAGCTGTTATATATAAGGAATTAACGGCCGGCAGGAATTAGTAAAGTTCTTATTTACCTCTATATTAAATATATTTTCCTTAAAAACCTTACCTATTTTAATTTCCGCAAGTTCCTTTATATCCTTGTAATTCCAAGACTTATATTCCGTTCTGCTCCTTTTTTAGCTATATCTATTCCAGTGTATATAAAGCTAGAAGAGTACCTAGAAAAACAACTCTAAATTATATATAAAGTTATAGTATTTGCTGTAAAAAGCACTAATTGCTATAAACACCTTAGTGCCGGTCTTACTTAGCGCGCCTAATACCTTTTTACGGTTAACTTTAATAGTAAGGTTAAGGTTAATTAGGAAACTATTGTCTTTATCCTTTTTAAGTATAATATTTCCGGCTAATATATCGCGATAGAGGATGTTTCTTTCTAGCAATAATTTATATCCTAAGACAGTTAGCTAGAGTTAGGGGCCTGTCTAACTAAACTAACCTTTTATCCCCCCTAAGATCCTGTTTATTATAGCTACTAGTAAGCTTATATTATATATACTTTTCCTAACGCGTTATATTACTAACTAATAATATACTCGGTTTTATTGCAAGCTATCCCCTTTAGTAGAAAAATCTAAATATAACTGTTTTAGAGGTCGTATAGACTAATAATAAGAGCTAGAGCACCTCTTTCGCGTAATACTGTTGCTTCTACCTTAACCGCTTATAAGTCTCTCTACCGCGGGGCCTTTAGCGTTAGAGAAGTCTATAAGTAGTTGTAAGTTTAGGTGCCCTTATAGTAGATATCTCCTACTTCTATTTTACAGCCCTTCGCGCAAACTATTGCAGGTATTAACAGCAGCACTTTTATTATAAACAATTTTATAATAGTAATACTCTGCTATATTTTTTACGCCTGCATTTATTACTTTCTTAAGTAGAGGCTTCTCCTCCGGCCGCTTTTTATACTTCTAAAAGTCTTTAATAATAAAAAAAAGGCCGGATTTATCGTGGACTTCCTAATAGGTAGTTGCTTAACCTGCTATACAATGCTGTTGCTTTATAATATTATCTAGATAATATTACTCCAGTTGTATATTCTGCGTGATTTTAATATGCCTGCTGCCCCTTTTACCGCAGATTATAGGGTTAAACCTAAGGTCCTTTAGAGCTATCTATAGATACCCTAAAACTGCGGATATAAATATTAGCGCATTTTTATATATATTAAATAATTGCAACGCAACCGCTCCGAGTCGGTTAAATGCCTAGAGCCGCATAATAGAACCGCAGAGTGTAAAGCCAGTAACTAATTATCGGGTGTCTTGCGCAGTAAAGATTTTCTAAGTATATTAAGACAGATTAAACTAGGTGCTGTTATAGTTATCCTTTTACTAGTTGCTCTTTAGCTTGCTTAGTATAAGGACGTTGCACTAGTTACAGGGAGCACTATTATTAGACGTCTTGTTCCGCCGGCTATAGATAATACTAATATCCAGCTTCCGTTTGCTAATAAATCCGGGGATAGGCTTATTTGTTGTGGTAAAGCACCGCTAACGCGTTAGAGGCTGGAGGCCTTACCTCTAAACATGCTACACCGGGTGCTACTTAGAGGGTACTTAGAGGGTAATTAGAGGGGAAATATAGGATTAACCGCAACTTGCGGCGGGGACGAAAGGGAACAGCGCTATACTGCTGCACTTGTTACACACAAGGGTAAATAGTTAGCTTCCTTCTTACGCGGAAGAATAGATAACTTAATTTTAATACAGAACTTGCGAACTGTATTAGAAAACGGAGCTTAACTGCAACTGGCGCTGGAATAGGATATAAAGCTATACTACTATTATACTACTATATCTCCGTTTTAGGGGCGGGCGGTCTCCTCCTTGCGCGTTAATGTTGGCGCCACTACTTAGCAGTAGCTCGACGGTCTTGTTATAGCCTCCTCGCGATATATTGCTATGCAATTTGGTGTAACTTTGTAATAAAGCGGATAAAAATAATAAGTAAAAATACTCGGCGTTAAGAGGGGTTTAATTAGGGAATAAATAAGTAGGGTAGTGTTAAGTTTTCGCGTGTTCTAATTAGCCTATAGTGTCGCGCTAGGTCTTTTAGGTAGTTAGTAATAGCCCGGAGGCGGCCCCGATTATTAACAGTATTGCTAAAAATAGGGGGAATATAGGAATACCTGCAATCTACTATTACCGCTTTTTTAGGGGTAGAAAAACCCCTTTTATTAGCCTAGGTGTTTATAGGAGTATATAGAAGTTCCTAGGATAGTTTCTATAATATTTTTAGGGGTAGAAAGTAGATCTATTTAGAATCGTAGGCGTCTACCACGGCGCTATATTCTTAGTGCCTGCGGAAGTAATATTAGTTTCTAAGTGTAATTATAGTTTTAGAAATACTAATATATAAGATATAACTAGTTAAGGTATAGAAAACGAGGGGGAGGACTTAGAGGACCTAATTTTAAAGAATATTAGTAAAAGTGGAGATAAAATAAGGAGAAAAGGCACCTTACTATTGCGAAGTTTCTCCTTAGTATTAGTAGTAAGCTATAACGCTGTGTTTTTATTAGATTAGTTTGTTAGGCGTGCTCTAATCGGCTATATATAGCTATAAAATTATTCTAAGGTTCGAATAAGGCCCTTTAATAAGCACTAGAAGTAATAGAAGCTTAATAGTAGTATATTACAGACTAAGGTATTAGCCGTAGAGGCCTAAGGTAAAAACTATATTAATAAGCTTGCTATTAAAGCTATATAGAACGTCGGGCGGGGTAACCTAACTAATAAAAAACACTATACATATATAATTAATTATACTCTGCTGCTTAATATTATTTCCAATCCTGCTTTATCCTATATATACCTAAGTGCGATATAGTACTATAGCGACGGAATTTAGTTACGCCTTAAAAGAATACTGTCCGCAAATTAGGCGCAAGGGCAATAATACGAAGGTAATTTTTCCGTAGAAGGTGTTCTAAGGTTCTAGAGTAACCGTAGCTTATAACCTATACTAAACTATAGGAAATATTAATATATATATAGCGTATAAGTTATATTAATATACTGCTTATATATTGCGGTATAGTAGGCGTTGCGCGACGTAGGGAGATGTTACCCCTTATATATTATACTAAGTCGGTAAAATCTCGGGGTGCTAGGGCGCTTAGGTAAGCTCTAGGATATAGCAAAAGGAGGCAGCTCCTTAAATAGACTTAATTAGGAGTACCGCGTTTAATACTGCCACCTGTCTATTATCGCCTGTCTATTATACCCCTATTCGTGCCTTATTATAATAGTATAGGCCGAGCTAGCAGAGGAACCTGTTAAGGTTCCTTATAAAGGCTTTATTAAGTTATATATTTAGCTGTTATATATATCTACCGTGTTAGAATATAGCCTAAAGGGCCCTTATTTTTATAATAGTTAGTTGCACCTAACAGTAAGAAAAGAAAGGGCACCTTAACCTTTGCAAAGTTTCTCCTTCTACTATACTTAGGGCCGTAAGCTGCAACGCTGCGTTTATACTGCTAGATTCTTAAGGCAGGCTAATAAGGTACTAATTAGCTATAAATTTAGCTATAAGCTTAGCTTACTAAAGTTAATAACACCGTAATAATTATATAAAACATGCTGTGTCGTTTTATCTAAACCGGATTAGTCTATTTAGAAGTACTAACTAGGGTGGCAACTTTATATAAATTTGTATGCGATATTAGCTATAAAGCTAATAACGACTTCTAAGTATAATAGCTATGTTCTCCTTAAATAAAGCCCTTTTATAAGTATTAAAAGTAATAGAAGCTTAATAGTAGTGCTGTATAATCACGTAATAATAAAAACGGAGGATAAAAAATATCGATTCTATATAGGAATCTAGCTAGGTTATATATATATAGGGAGGGCCTATACGGCCCTAAATATTAACTAGATCTATAGTAACGTCCCTTACTACAGGTCGAAAAACACTCTATACTAAGATAAACCTATTATTTAAGTATTTTAACTCCTTTCCTTACAACTTTATTAAGCTATAGTTAGTATATTATTTTTCTTAGAATACTTTCCTTTTAGGAACTAGTCTATAGTACGAAAAATACAATGGTTTTAGTTATACTATTAATCGTTCCGTTTACGACGTCTAGATCGATTTTAGGTTTGCACCCCTGCTATACAACAGCTATTAACACCTTTTTAAATTTCGGAGTACGTAAATAATATTTCTATTATAAGAGAAGATACTTCTATAATATAAAGAAGCTTAGCTATTAGGAATATGCGCTCCAAATTTATCCGTGCAAGATAGCCTTAAAAATGTCTTAGCATAAGGAGTTAGCGCGCTTATATAATAATATGCTAGATAATAAGCGATTTATATTATATTTAATACCTAACTATATAGCACTCTTCTAAATACGTCTATAAATAGTTACGTGCTAACTATTTTTAGCCGCTAGGCTCTATATATTGCTATATATATCTTATATATTTTCTGTTATTACGTTTATAGTTAGAGAAGTTATATTAATAAGTATAGAAGATTCTAGATATCCCTTTTAAAAGATAAATACTTGCTGCTCCCCGGCCCCCTCTATAAAATAGAGATTAGAAAAGAAATATATAATAAGATAAAGAAAGTGTGTACAAGGCCTATATACGAAATTTAAGGAACGTAGTACAACCTGAAGAATGCCCTAAAAAGACTACGTTTCTGTTAACTATAGCGCAAGTCGGTCGATATTTAGAAGGAAGCTATAGCAACCGCTGTTGGTTTAAAGAAATCCACTGGTCTTGTACAAAGACATAAGACGGCTGCGCTCTTTGGGACGAGGGCGGTGGCGTAGTAGGAACATGCAAGCAAATATCACCGCGATTTGTTTGGATATACTGGCCGTCTGGCGAGAAGGCGACGGCGTTGACGCTGGAGGTATGGCCCTCGAGCACGCTGCGGCACGACCCTGTAGCCGCCTCCCACACCCGCA